ATTCAACCGCTTGAATTTGAGGGTTCTTTCTCGGGAGTTGGGTTCGACTGATTGGAGCCATCTCCGAGGCGACGTTGACGCAGGAGCGGAGTTCCCAACCGTTGCAAGTACAACGTCTGTGGAACATCATGTTCCTCAGCTTCATATTCCGCGTTCGTTCGAGTCACCCTTGGTTGACGCAGGAACGTTTTGACGCCGCTGGGCGAAACGTCGCGGCGGCCGATGCGCCGAAGTTTCCGTTTGCAGTGCGCAAACGCAGCCGCATTCACTAAGAAATTTTGGTTCGCATTGCAGCAAAATTTGACCAAGTATCATATTCTCATCACTCGTATCAGAAGCATTGCGGCGATGGTCGAATGGATTGCCCGGCAAAGTTGCCCAATCTGCTGGTTCAGCTTTGCGCCGGGCGAATGGCGCCTGGGTTGTGAGAGTTGAGGAAACCATGCTTTTGATGATTCACTGTCTGAGCGCTGGATTATCCCGAGGCTGCATGCTAACCGTTTGTTCTCGCATTATTCAGCGGCGCCCCGTGGAAGAGACAAGTTTATTTCTGGTTTGCGCTAGACACGTTTGAAATATTTTCATCTTGTGGAAACGTGCTTCAGATACAGGTCCAGACAGGATTCTTGTGCGAGTTCTATCATAGTGTACAATCTCTCGCGTTGCCTGTCGCTTTGCTGGCGCGGTCCATTCTGCGCGCGGGCAGGTTGGTGGCGCCGTGGCGCTTGCGTCAGATTCACCTTTCCACATGTGCAAGTCGATGCGCGATCCTTTAAGAAGCCGCTGAACTCATCTCACAAGCCAACCCTCGAAGTGCACAGGACGTATTATGTTGTCCTTGTTCTCTCCTCGCATCTCCCGCCCCCCGTGCTTCGTTTCGCGCGAATTCGCCTACGGTCCAGGTCGAGTCACCCGCCATCTCTTTTGCCGCCTTACTTTGCCCCGCTTGTTGGCATAAGGGATTCGTGTGCATCGCCGTAGATAAAGTTTGACCCATCTCGTGACCCTACAAACGCAGTGCCGAACGAGATTTCCAACGGCGGGCAGGGGCCATCGTGCTTTTGAGCACCAAAGAACCCGCGAGCAGCAAGACGCCCCATTTCGAGTTCGAATCCGAAAACGTTCGATGTGAGTTTTCGGGCAGTCAAAGTGGAAATCGCCATTTCGATTTTGCACCGCGCGGATTTCGATTTCTGCTTTGGAGCAAACTCCGAGCGAAATCGCATTTGCGATTACGAGCCCGAACATGTCCTGTTCGGTCGAGACTGTGTTCCCCGTTGAAGTCTTCAAGCGGAGTCGCCGCTTCGACTCGAGCGGCCCGTTCGACATTGAAATCTTAAACCAACCAGCCCGAAAAGTTCCGCGGGGGGACGCTCGCTCGGGACTTCGTCGCAAGAGCGATTTCGATCTGATGTCGAAACTCGCCGGCCCGACGTCGCAGCTGCGACGCCGCCCGCTATACTTCACAGGAGCCCGGCGGCGAAGTACCGGCCCCGTTGACGATGTTACACCGGGGCCACGCCCCCGAGCGGGGAGGGCTAAATGTCGGCCGAATTATCGCGTCGGCGAAGTGGGTCTCACGCAGGCCGTAGTCGCGTTGCAAACTGCGCCGCGCGCATGACGCCCGCGGTCGGCGGCCGACGGCATGGGCCACCAAGACCATAGGCACACGCTCATGTCAAAAATGCAGGCCGATTAGGGGTCGATGGTCGATGAGACCAGAGGAAACAGGCATGTCGACCACGAGGGCCCAGCGAGAGCTGACTCGGTTTATGGTCGCGTTGCAAACCACGCCGCGCATTCGACAAACGCTCTTGACGGCTGATAGTAGGGGCCGCCCGGCCCAAATCAAACGTGCATGTCAAACATGTTGGCCAAGTGGGATATCGGGCGAGTTATGTTCGCGTTGCAGCCAGTGCTGCGCACGTAGCATCCGCGCTCGGCAGTTGACAGTGGGGGCATCTGAGACAATAGCCAACGATCATGTCCACCATGCAGGCGTCATGGGATCTCAGACGAAGTGTGGCGGCGGTGCAAACAGCGCCGCCCACTTGACATCCGTGCTTGGTGGCGGACAGTAAGGACCGCCGAGACCAAAGGTGAACATGCGGGCCCAGTGGGATCTCAGGCTAAGTATGGTCGCGCTGCAAACATTGCCTCGCGCGCGGCATTCGCGCTCGGCGGCTGACAGTAGGGGCTGCTGAGGCCAGAAGAAACGTTCATGTCACTCATGCAGGCTCAATGGGATCGGGCGAAGTATGGTCGCATTGCAAACAGCACCGCGAACTTGACATTCGTGCCGGGCGGCTGACAGTAGGCGCCGTTGATGCCAAGTAAAGCGTTCATGTCAACCACGCGGGCCGAAGAGGATCTCAGGCGATGTAAGATCGCGTTGCAAGCAGTGCCGCACGCGTGACATTTGCGCTCGGCGGCTGACGGTAGGTGCCTCTGAGACCAAATAAAGCATTCATGACAACCATGCAGGCCCAATGCTATCTGAATCGAGGTGTGGTCGCGTTGAAAGCAGCGCCGCGCACTTGACAGTCGCGCTCGGCGGCGGACAGTAGGTGCCGCAGAGACCACAGCAAACGCTAATGCCAACCATGCGTGTCCATCGCCGCTACGAACATTTCGACGCATGTCGTGGACCTACAAGAACCGCGCCGGAAGAAATGTGCAATGGTGCGCAATCACCATCGCGCCATTGAGCATCAGAGCCTGCGAGCAGCAAAATGCCCCACTTCGATTCCGACTCCAAAAACTTTCGATGTGAGTTGGGGAAGTCATGGGAGGAATCGCCATTTCGATTTTGAACCGAACTGGATTCGACTTCGAATTTGAAAATTTCCAGTTCATTCGAAATTGCTTTCCTGCTGAATTCTCAAGCGGAATCGTTGTCACTCGGGCAACCCGTTCGGCATTGAACATTTTGAACTCGGTAGCCCGACAGTCGAAAGGGGTGGTTTTCGCTTGGGATCTATTTCGTCGCAAGAGCGATTCCGACTTGATATCGAAACACTTTGGCCCGAATTCGGCATGGCGATTCCGCGCAGTTTTCTCCGACGCAACGTGTTCCACCGACGCGGACATTCCCGTGCCCGAAGTCCAAAGTACGTGCGCGTGCCTTTGTTGCACGAAGCAACGAGACGCACGCGGGCAACATTGTACTGAGGCCTTTTTAAAACGTCCTCCGTTGACAACGTTGTCCTCTGTTGACAACATGTCGGCCGAGCCTTTCGCAGCGGCGAAGTAGGCCCATGTCATCATAATGTTTCTGGCCGTCTGCGTTCGAAGCTGCGCTTTTGTGGAGTATCCCTGGCCTTGTGCGGAGTATGTTCAATTTCAGGCTGGTTGGGGGCCCAAGCAGGCGGCATTACAGTGAGCGGAGCTTTTTCACGTGCCACTTAGATGACAAACATGGTGCTTCAAGGCTTCGTCCTGGGCCGTCCATCTCATAATTTATTTTGAAGTGGCGCCAACGAACCTATTGCGATTGTTTGGTCAGGGAGTAGTGTACATATGATTTTAACGCCATCCGTTCATTCCCTTCTCCCGTCCACGATTCAGAGATTTTTGTAACCATATGGCAATGCCAATCGCGCCTCTACGAGTGGGGCTTTACCAACGCTGTCGCGTCTGACGGTTCACAGGAGAGCAGGCGCATCATCTCACGAACCCTCTTTTGTGGAAGCAATTTCAAACCAAACCTCGATCTTAATTTTGATTGGAAGCTTGTCGTGTCTGCTGATGCACAAGACCTCGTGCACGAATATGGGTGGCGACTCTTTCCCTTCTTCGCCCGCGCTGGTTCCGCACTGAAGTGAAGCTTCAGTTTGTGGTGTAATCCCACATCAAGTTTTTCATAGAATATCGCACGGTTGCTTCTTTCTCATGTCTCCAGATGTGTTTTCCCTGTACTTCTGCGTGCCCTTGCATTTCTGACGAACCCGCCCTTCAGCATTTTGATATTGCTCCTCTCCGCGCCCGCCAGAACATTGCAAATTTAGGCCTCGTTCGCCGTACAACGCCATGTTTGTTTTTTCCATTACTGGTCTCTTTTCTCTCCTTCCTCGTCCTCTTCTCGTCGTCACCACCGCCACTTGCGGGATCCGTGCCCTCCTCCGTGCCCCAGACTACCTCTTGCGGCTTGTACATGGCGGCATGAGAGTGTACAACTTGTTTCTTCTTGGTTCTGCGGTGTGCGCACGAGATGTAAAACATGTTCAGCGCATGTTGTCTGATGTTTATGGCTGTGCTCTACTCAGATAGCGTTGTGGTCCGAGTTTTTCACTTGGTGTGCGCTAGTGGCGTCTCGCTTTCGGAGGCATTATTTTGACTGGGAGCCGGCGGAGTAACTGGCGCTTCTGAGACTTTTTGTTGGGCACCCGTGTGCCCAGCCGGGTGCTATCTTGCTTGGAGAGCCCAGAACAAATTCCAGAAATTATCGTAAACGTTTGTTTTGCCCTTGATGTAGTCGTTTATTTCGATGCGACTTGGTGAAGATAACCGTGCTGCAGAGGTCCGATAAAGAAAAGGGCGGCGACGCGGTGGCGACGACGGCAACGAGCGCGGCGACCGACAGATATGCCCAGACGATTGGCGGCGACGGTGCGGCGACGGCTGCAACATAGCCGCTACACCGACAGACAGGCCCAGCTATTCATCAACAAATGAGAACCCCTAAGTGCAAGTTTTGTTTGGATGTTTTGTTCGGGAACTCATGAAGAGGGAACTTGGAGGGAAGCTTTATTGCAACGTCGTTGATGCGGAACGAGTTTGCACACATCCTCCTCCTCCTCCTCCTTTCCTCCTCCTCCTCCTTTCCTCCTCCCCTCCTCCTCCTCCTCCTCCTCCTCCTCCTTTTCCTCCTCCTCCTCCTCATCCTCCTCCTCCTCCTCTCCCTCCTCCTCTCCCTCGTCCTCCTCCTTCCCCTCCTGCTCCTCCGCCTCCTCTTCTTCCTCCTCAACATCCTCCCCCATCCTCCCCCATCCTCCCACGAGGAAGCTGACGGCGCAGTCCCGCCGGGGTTCCACGGCGCGTCCAGCGGGGCCGATGGCGTTCCGCGGGCCGCCGAGGTGGTGCCGCCTGGCCTCGCCGCCGTGTTCGCCGCCGTCGTGGCGCACCGGCCTTTCGTCGTTGTGGCGCATTGGCCGGCTCCGACGCCGTCGCCGCCGCTGTCGCCGTCGCCGCCGTCGTCGCCGTCGTCGCTGCCGTAGCTGTCGTCGCCGTCATGGCGCATGAGCCAGCGCTGTCCCCGTCGTCACTGCCGCCGCCGTCGCCGCAGTCGACGCTGTCGTCGTCGTCCTCGTCGTCGTCGTCGCCGTCGTTATCGCCGCTGTCGTGGCGTGCTGGTTTGCCTCGTAGTCGCCGTCGTTCGCTGTCGCCGTCATTTCCTTTGCATCCTCGAGGGGCATCGCTTGTCATGCAAGTTGCGGTCTTGGCGAGGGTTCGACGCAGAGTCGGCGTGGACTCTGCGTGGGGTTGGCGCGGGTTCGACGTGGGTTCGATGTATCTTCGACACGGCTGGCGTGGATGTGGTGCGGACTCAACGCGGATAGCGGCGCGATGGTACAGACAAGGGTTCTTGATGATGCAACATAACTTCGCCGCCGTCGTTTCCGCTTCCGCTGCAGCCGTCACCGTCGTCGTCGTCGTCGTCGTCGTCGTCGTCGTCGTCGTCGTTGTCGTTGTCGTCGCTGTTGCCCCTCGGAGATCGGCGCCGGGGCCTGTCCAGGGCATGCGTTCCGACCAAAACTTCAGAGCGACCCAAGCATGGCAGCGAGAGACCCCCCGAGGCATCAAGCATCGAAAAATGCGACAACAGAAACATGTCGATCCCGTCGCCGCTGTCGCCGTCGTCGCCGCCGCCGTCGCTGTCGTCGCTGTCGTCGTCGCTCGCCGTCGTCCTCGTCCTCGTCCTCGTCCTCGTCCTCGTCCTCGTCCTCCTCCTCGTCCTCGTCCTCCTCGTCCTCGTCGGCGTCGTCCCCGTCCTCGTCATCGTCGTCGTCGTCATCGTCGTGTCCGCCGTCGTCGTCGTCGTCGTCGTCGTCGTCGTCGTCGTCGTCGTCGTCGTCGTCTCCGCCGCCGGTGTGGTCGTCCTCGTCCTCGTCTGTGTGGCCGTCGTCTCCACCGTCTTGTGTCGCCGTCGTCTCCGCCGTCGGTTTGACGCGGAGGCCGGTGGCGGCCAAAAGGGCCCTCTAGCACCGGCGGCCCAGGAGGCGCTGGCGGCGGCGGCGTCGTCGTCGCCGTCGTCGCCGAGGTGACGCGCCGCCGGCTGTCTGCCGCGGCCTCGGCGGGCCTGCCTGGGGCCCAGTGTCTGCTGAACACGCGATCGGCGGGCACAGTCAGCCACGCGCAAGAGGGGGAAGGCTTCTTAGAAGCACCTCTGCTTCTAAGAAGCCTTCCCCCCTCCCCCATACCCCCCTCTTGCGCGTCGCCAACGCAGATCGCCGCGGTGATCGGGGGACTTGAGCACGCGGCTTGATCACGCGATCGTCCGAGCTGGAGTCTGCGATCGATCCGTGATCGGCGAGGCAGCCATCGTGATCGGGGCCTGCGATCAGACCACGTGATCGGGCGGTGTGGTCGGCCGAGAGATCAACCGAGCACTCAGGCCCTGGGCCGAGCCGGTGGCAGGGCTGGCAGCAGCGTGAGCCGCGCGCCGGCCCTCCCCGCCGTCCCAGACATGGAGGTTCGAGGAGCGGGGGCTCGTGGATGCGGGAGCGGCCAAGGGCCAAGGGCTTGGCATCGCTCGGACGTGTGCATTTTTCCTTCGGCGAGGACCATCGAGGAGCATCTTTGATCATTTGGCGAAAAAACCGCGCACGAAACCGAAAAAAACACAGGGAAATGGACGTCCGAGCGATGGCCAGAGGGGGGGTGATGACTGAGGGGGCTGCGGATATCATGGCCTGGGCCATGATAGCTACCCGGATCTCATGGCCCTCTCGTCCTCTTGCATTGCCTTCCTTGGCATGGTTTCCTTCGTCCGCGCACGTGCTTCTGGCCACGAATGGCGGCCTCCCCTCTTGGGCGCCCCCCTCTTGGACGCCCCCGATGGACGGGAAACATGTCCGCGAGGGTTGGAATGGGCTGCAAACCAGCCAAATTCAACACGGCGCAGCGATTGGGTGGTTGCGCCAAGGCACTGGGCGGCTGCGCGAAAGGCCAATGTCCACACACACACACAGAGCGCCAACGTAGACAGGTCTCCAAAAGGGCGAGCAGGTTTCACATAGGCCACGGTAGAAATGGCGTCCGCTCTGGGCATTGCCCCCTCCTTCAAGCGAAATGCGAGGGTGTCGACCGCACAGGCCCCTCACGCTCTCCAACCACGGAACACCTACGTACAGGCACAACGTCTCCCACAAAGAGCGGGAGGGCCGCAGACTCCCTAACGACATCCCAAAGTTCAAGAGGAGGGCAAACATTAATTTTAACGACATGTGAACTTAGAACTCGGAGCGGCTGGCCACCAGGAGGAGACGGAGGAGGAGGAGGAGGGAGGAGGAAGGAGGAGGAGCAGGAGGAGGACGAATGGAGCGGGCAGAATTTTCTGGGACAACCATCCCTGGTGCCGTTACGACAGCAGTAAAAGTGTACAAGCCCTATCGTCAGGAGCAGCGGTGCCGTCACGACAAAAGCTGGGGGCACTGGAATCATCAGCACCGCCAGCGCCGTTACGACAAAAAGTTGGGGAGCACCAGGATTACCCCTACCGCCGGCGCAGTTACAACAAACAGTTGCGTTACCTGAGCCTTATAAAAGCCTACAGTTCGGCAGTCTCCTTGAACTTATATCAGTTTTGGTCTGCAGCTCGTGGACCAGGGACCAGCTGGCCTCTTGCTCTGCTCATCCTTACTGCCAATGGCGACCAAGCACGTTACAATGGCACGGAGAACCACCGGGGCAACCATATGAATATGTATCGGTCTCACTGTTCAGCTACATTCTTTCTACCTGTGAAATGACATCAGAAACCCGGTCTGCCACCGTCATCCCACTCCTCCCGGGGCCCCCGCGTGTACGCTTGCGGCCCCCGCCTGATGGCCGAAGAGGCCCCCAAGGGAGCTCAACATTGCCCCGAGGCAGCCCCCGGAAGTCTTGGGAGGGCGCCGCGAGGCCCACGCGGGGCCCCCAAGACTGCCGAATACGTTGCCGAGGCGGAGCCAGAGAGGCCCGCGAAGACCCCAAAAGACGGCCCGAGAGCGCTCCGAGAGGGCCCGGCATGGCTTCAAGACGGCCCAGGAGGCCCCCACGAGGCCATCCGAGAGAGCCCGGGGAGGTAAACAATATCGCTTTCCGTGTGCGGCCCACCACGATCCAAATCCGCGCCGCGGGTTTCTGCGTGTGCGTCTCAAGCGAGAATTCTTGGATGTGCGTCGCTGGCAATGATGGCGCCGCGACAACAAACGAGTCCGAGAGCCAACTCGCCCACCCCTGGGCGACAGTTTTTTGTTGTAAAAATTGGGCCCGAACATGCTGCCTTCAGCTCTCGCGCCAGCGCGCATGACATACATCTTGGCAGGTCCTATGAATTTGGCGCGGATCCGAATTCGGTTTGGAATTGCGCTGCGGTGGATCCAATTTCCCTCCGCGCGGAGCCGATTTCGGACGTTTTGGATATGATATGTCCGCCCTGCTTTTTTTCCCACGCGTATCAGATTTACATGCTGTTTCAGCTGGCGGACGGAAATCGGATCCGCGGCGTCCAAGCCCGCCGCTGTTCAGATTCTTTCAGATTATTGGGGGGAAGGGGATTCGGTTACGAACTGTCGCAGACAGGTCGCGCTTTGTTTCACGGACCCCATTAACCGCCCGCCCCGCGCGCGGCCCGCGCCCAACATGACAGCGTCTCTCCTCACCCCTGGCTGCTGCGAGCGTCTTGCCCAGACGCGGCGCGCGCTCTGGGCCCCGCCTCATCCGCCCCACAAGACTTACGCCACGTAGTTGGCGACGGCGTGCTGCGGCGCGATCTGGCGCCGAGTGCAAAGATAGACGAGGAGGTGGTTCTCTCTTGATTGGCGGGCTCTGGCGCGGCCCGCCACGATTCCAAATCCACGGCGCGGACTTTTGCGAGGGTGTCTCGAGCGAGTGCACTTGAATGTGCGTCGCTGGCAATGAATGTCAGACGTGGTACGTCAGCTAACTCTGCAGCAACGAGCGAGTCCGAGGGCAGAAACGCACAGTGTGTTTTCAGCCTGCGTCTCCTGGCCCAACGCGCGACGCGCGCGCCGTCGTCGCGTGTCTTGAGTGCCCCCACAATGGGTTCTCGCGTTGGGCCCCGCTTCGTCCGGCCCGGCAACTTCCGTTGCGTTGTGGACGCCGGCATGTTGCAGCATGATCTGGCGTCAAGCGCAGCGCTAGACGAGGAGGGTGTCCCCCCTGGTTGACGGGCCCTGGCGCGGCCCACCGCAATTTCACATGCACGGCGCGGACTTTCGCGAGAAGGTCTCGAGCGAGAGCTCTTAAACGTGCGTCGTTGGCAATGCATGTCAGACGTGGTACGTCAGCTCTGCAGCACCGAGTGAGTCCGAGGGCAGAAACGCGCAGTGCGTTTTCGGCCTGCGTCTCCTGGCCCAACTCGCGACGCGCGCGCCGTCGTCGCGCGTCTTGGGCGCCCCTGCGATGGGCTCCCGCGTCGGGCCCCTTCCCCTCCACCCCCCAGGACTTGCGCCACGTAGTGGGTGCCGGCATGCTGCGGCGCGATCTGGCGTCCAGCGCAGCGCTAGACGAGGAGGTGGCCCCCCCTTGGTTGGCGGGCTCTGGCGTGGCCCGCCACAATTACAAATCCACGACGCGGACTTTCGCGAGGGCGTCTCCAGCGAGGACTCTCGAACGCGCGTCGCTGGCATCAAAGGTGCGGCATGTCGGCGCTGCGACAACTAGCGAGTCCGAGCGCTGAAGCGCCCGTCCCCAGGGCGAAAGTTTTTTACTCTCGGGCCCAGAGATGATGACTTCTGCTCTTGCGCAGCGCGCGCGAAATACATCTTGGTTGGTCCGATTCAGTTGGCGCGAATACGGATTTGGTTTGGAATTGTGTTGCGGTGGATCCTATTGCCCCTCCGGGCGGGTCCGATTTCGGATGTTGCGGATATGATTTCCGCCTTGCGTCTTTTCCGCGGATCCGATTCATGAGTTGTTTCAGCTGGCGGACGGAAGTCGGATCCGCCACGCCCAAGCACGCCGTTGTTAAGACTCTACGGGGGAGGTGGGCGTGGTTGCGATCTGCCACAGACAGGTCGCGCGTTGCTTCACGGGCCCTATCGAGCCTCCCCGCACGAGGCCCGCACCCAACATGAACGTATCACTCTCGCCCCTGGCTGCCGCGTGCATCTTGCCCTGACGCGTCTGGCGGCGCCGATGCTCTCTCGCCAACCCTTGCTGCCGCCGCTGGCGCCTCGAAAGGAAAATCGCCCGTCCTGCGTCTCCTGGCCTAACGCACGGCGCGTGCGCCGTCGTCGCGAGTCCCTGCCGCCCCCGCAATGGATTCCCGCGCTGGGCCCCCCCCCCCCCCAGACGTCCGCTGCGTGGGCGCCGGCGTGCCGCAGCACGATCTGGCGCCCAGTGCAACGCTGGGCGAGGAGGGGGGTGTCTCCTGGCGAGGGCGGGCTCTGGCGTGGCCCGCCGCGATTCCAAATGGACAGCGCGGATTTTTGCGATGACGTCTCGAGCGAAAACTATTGAGCGTGCGTCGCTGGCAATGAAGGTCAGACGCGGCATGGCGGCTCTGTGACAGCAAGCGAGTGCGAAAGACGAAACGCCCGGCGTTTTTGCGGCCTGCGTCTCCTGGCCCAGCGCACGGCGCGCGCGCCGTCGTCGCATGTCTTGAGTGCCCCCACAATGGGTTCTCGCGTTGGGCCCCGCTTCGTCCGGCCCGGCAACTTCCGTTGCGTTGTGGACGCTGGTATGTTGCAGCATGATTTGGCGTCCAGCGCAGCGCTAGACGAGGAGGGGGTCCCCCTGGTTGACGGGCCCTGGCGCGGCCCACCGCGATTTCACATCCACGGCGCGGATTGTTGCGAGAAGGTCTCGAGCGAGAGTTCTTAAGCGTGCGTCGCTGGCAATGAAGGTCAGACGTGGCATGTCGGCTCTGTGATAATAGGCGAGTCCGAGAGCCAAATCGTCCATCCCCAGGGCGAAAGGTTTTACCCTTGGGCCTGGACATGATGCCTTCATCTCTTGCGCCAGCGCGCATGAAATTGATCTTGGCTGGTCCAAACCAGTTGGCGCAGATCCGAGTTTGGTTTGGAATCCTGTTGCCGTGGTTCCGCTTCCCTCCGCGCGGATCCGATTTCGGATGTTGTGGATCTGATTTCTTTCATGCTTTGTGCGCCTGGATCCGATGCATGTGTTAATTGAGTTGATATTACACATCAAATCAGCTGGCGGACGGAAGTCGGATCCGCGACATCCAAGCCCGCCGTTGTTAAGATTTATACGGGGGAGAAAGGGGGGTGGCTACGAACTGTCACAGATAGGTAGCGCTTTGTTTCGCGGGCCCCATCGACCTTCCCCGCACGCGGCTCGCACCCAACATGAATGCGTCTCTCCCTCCCCTGGCTGCTGCAGATGTCTTGCCATGACGCTGTGCGTCTGGCGGCGCCGATGCTCTCTCGCCAACCGCTGGCCGCCTCTGGCGCCCCAAGAGGAA